TGTGAGCACGTGATTTTTGTTTTACGCAACAATCACTCCAAAAGAAACAAAAATAATAGCAATTGGTCTTGCTGTACAATTTCTGGATTTCTACGTGGCACTTTGTTAATTATTTATGATTTTTGGCCCATTTTTATTTTTATTAAAACAAAATACAAAAAATGTGTGTCATACGTCATTTAAACCGTAATCCGGTTATTAAATGGAAAATCATAAATATGCATCTTTGTCCCGATTGTTGCCTTGTTTTGATTTTACCTACTTTAAATATTTTAACATATGTGTGTAAAATAATGGTATTGAGTGTTTAATTAATGAATTTTTATTTGGTTTAATTAGGTTTTTGTTTTAAAATAAAAAGGAAAAATATATAGAAGAAAAGTATGCAAAATTGGTTTGAAATCGAGATGGGCCTGCCCCCATTTTCAAAATCTGAGGCCCAAATCAAGCCCAGAATGTGAGCTTTACCCGGTCCAGACCAGATGGCCTCAAGGGGCATTCCAAACAACACCGTTTTGATCTGGTCTGATCTGGGCCGTTGATCTCAGATTGATCAACGGCCAAGATCACATTCCCCATACCCACTGACGAACCCGACCCATTCCACCCGGACTGACCCAAACCCCTTTAGGATGAAACGACACCGTTCCCTACCAGCCAAAATATCCTGACCCTTCATCTCACCCCATCCAACGGCCAGGAATCGACCCCTCACTAACTATATAAGCCTATAACCATACCCCAAGCCCCATCCAAACACCCCCTACCTTTCATCGTCTTCACAGACCACCCCCTTTGAACCCTAGCCGCCCCCTTTTCCCCTCACCGTTAATCCCGGTGGCATGAACGCCGGTGGCCCTCACCTTAACACCATAGACGCTCCTCACTATCCTGAACCCAAATCCACCAGCCACTTAGCTCGAATCCCCTCCCACCTTCTTGAATCTTCATTTGAAGATTCGAGTCGGAACCTGACTTACACCAATTGACCCCAGTTTCACACCAGACAGTCCCCGGACCCCCCTCGTGACCAAACCATGCTTGGTTTGGTCCGAATCTAACCATGGAAGCCCAAGTCCCAAATCTACCATCTAGAAACCCCAAGTCTGGTCCGTGTCTGTTTAAGCCAAGAGATTAGGGTCTAATGGACCTTAATCGAAGTGTTTCTCATTTGAGAAACACTTCGATTAAAGTCCGTTCAACCTT